CTCCTGCTCCTGCTCCTGCTACTGCTCCTGCTACTGCTCCTGCTCCTGCTCCTGCTGCTGCTGCTGCTGCTGCTGCTGCTGCTGCTACTGCTACTGCTGCTGCTACTGCTGCTTACCATTTCTACTGCTACTACTACTGCTCACTCCTGCTCCTGTTACTGCTACTACTCCTGCTACTACTACTACTACCACCACCACCACCACCACTACTGTACCAATCCTCCTGGCTACCGCTACCACTCCCACTGCCACAACCACTACCGCTTCCGCTACCACTACCACGATACCACTACCACTTCGACGACGACGACGACTACTACTACTACTACCACGCCGGTCCCGAGAATACGAATGTTTGTTCAGATCTTTTTTCGATAATGTTATAAGCCCGTTTCTGACAGTTTACAAGCTGTTAAACACTCTTCGGAAGTTTTATCGGTCTCTAGGTTGCTGTGTGTTGTCTTGATTTGGCATGTTTTGTGGCGAATCTTCGAACGCTGTTTCTGTCGAAACCACATATGGTCCTAGTATTGTTTACATGCCAGCCACGCACGTGCTGAGTCGGATGTGGATTATGCCTCTTATGTTTTCGCGAATGCACTGCAACGAGTCTGCACTCGGGCAACTTAGAGCAGGATTAGATGGTCAGGCCAAAAGACTGCCCAACAAATCTTCAACACCTTTCACGCTTCAATCCAGGCCAACCCACTGTCCGCAATGTGGAAGGCGTGACCCTGAAACCAAAAAGCGTTAGCTTGGAGCACAAGCTTGCGCTTTGGAACAAAATTTGTGCGATCTTGTGCAGATCTGCCAAGGGACGAGATGGGACCCCACATCAACGCGCGAGAGCAGATCAGGGAGCTCTTGCTAGTAGAGGCGGCTCGAGATTTTTGGTTTGTAACCCATATTGTATTTTCATCATATTTTTAAATTATGACTTTATGAGATTTTGTTATGTTATGTTATGTGATATTATCTTATATTAATATTTTGCAGTGTTTAGTCCGGCGAAGGCCTGCTTAGTAGGGGTTGCGGTTCAGGGACGAGGCTTGAAGCACCAAGGTGTTGTGATTGATAGCGGTGAGAGTAGGATCGCTGCGGTCAGCACACCGTAACCCCCAAGCCTTAAGCCTACAAAGTCTCGAGTCGCAAACCCCAACCCGTAGTAGGAGCCGAATCTCGGACGGCACATCCCGTCGACCTCAACGGCCGGCCGATGTTCATCGTGCAGCAGCGTGGAGTACAACTCTCGGACTGGCATGTGCTCATTCTGCGACAAGGAGCTGGAGATCGTCGACAGGTGAAGTTTCTTGGACAAGCCTGTTTGCAATCTGCTGGTTGCAGGGGCGTGAGGCGAGGCGGCGAGGCATTGAACTTTGTAAAAGGCCTGGCTAAAGTGTTCAAGGTTGGGTTTGAGGGGCTTAGCCGTTGATTGTGAATGTTTCGGCTTCTGCGTTTGCAGTACCATGGGCCAGTCCAACCGTACACTGAGAGTAGGTTCCAGGGACCACAAGCCCGCTTGCAAAAGACGTGGGTGTGTTGGGGCACGCAGAAAAGGATCATACAAATCTTCTGAGGCAGTGTAAAGCCCTTAAAGTGTTCTGCTGCCTGCCACAAAGAGGAGAGACAACTAAAGCCGTCAATGGAAACTTATAATACGCGCGAATGCTGCTCAAAGGTTCAATTTGCCCGTTGAGGGCGCGACGGCTGTGAGAAGGTGTGAGCCTGACTAGCAGTCGGACCGGAAGGCATGTGAAAGAGAAATGCCGTATCTCTACAACCGCCAGTAGTGGTAGTGTAATTTACCTGCAAGCACCACCATTTATCACCAACATGATCGTCGGAGTCACCAGCAAGCTCGCAGGACCGCGCTGTAGCCTTTTGTGGCTAAGTCTCCCTAAACCCCTATCCCTAGAATCCAGATCCAACCCAGGACCAAGGGGCCCTATCGGCGAGTTTCTCCTAAGAGCCCTAAACCCTAAACCGAAACCCCTAAGAGCCCAACACCATGAATATCCAAGCATCATCGCACCCCAAACATGAAATCGGGGGGCTGTCCGAGTCCGAAAGTCCTTTCTAGGCGCTTTACCCTGGGCCCGAAGACCCATTAGTGACTAAGCCTGAATACTTGGCACAATGTAGGGCCTAAATAATTACCGATACTATTTTGGAGGTTCCTTAGTAAAATTATAGTATAATGGGCCCCAAAAACCCATTGTAATTATTGAGGCCCCTATATCAACACTCTTCCCTCAGGTTCTTACAATGCATCAAAAAGCTTTCTTCTACTCATTACAGCCCTTGTTGTTGCCCCAAAAGCCTGAAGTGCATGGCAAGGGATACGTGCATCGACTCCCCGTGTTGAAGACTTTGTTCGAGTTGTTTGGATTTTGAATCATCGGGCTTGTTTACGTAAAGAGTTTTGCGTAGCAATGTATGTCATTGGCCTTTAGGTGGGTTACTGCGTTTTGGTCATAGGTGTTCCTACGTGCTCTTTATGGGGGTTAACAACCGCTATTGTTGGGCTTCACAGGATTTCTCTGACAGTTGGTCGTAGGTCGTCGGGACTGCGGGCGACGTAGCAAGCAGAATTATCAGCAAGCCCTATACCTGTAGCTAGGCATCTTGATGCATGCTTTCTGCCCGGCCTGCTTTGCCACGTTTAGCAAGTGCTTTGCCCGAAGTGACGTTCATCGCTGTGGCGAGGACCACGCCTGTTGTACAGCATAGCATGTAGCCTCTTTCCCTGTGGAGATGGTCGGGGAGACCCTGTGAACCCACGAAGGTGACCTACTCCAGGGCAGGATCGATGCTGCGAAACGCGCGTCACTCTTTCATCCATCCGACTGGCGGGTTGGGGAAACCCTGTGAAACTCAAGTTTGACCTGCTCCAGGATGGATGCAGGGGCCTGCACCGTCAAAACAAAAACAGTCCTCGCAATGTGCCCGATTGCACAGCACCTAAATGTAGCCCCAGATCACAGTGGAACCCCCAAACCCTAACAGGCTGCACCCGTCTGACATTGAGTTCGAGTGCCAAAAATAGCCGACAGCTTGATTCCCTGATCAACCATGAAAAATCAAATGCCTGTAAACCACGCAGAAGCGATATGGTGAATCCTCCTGACTGAACCACCCACCCAGATTGCCTAGAGTTGCTCTTGCTCAGTGCACTTCCAATGCTTCCTTGATGTGCGGGTTGGTACGGGCTGACCATCGCACCAGAGTGATCGTAAGCGGTGTCGTTGTTATGCTAGAGAAGATGTAGACGAGCAGCTCGATCGTGGAACACCAACGAAGCACAGCATCTGGCAGCACCGTAAACCCTAAAGTGGATTGTCCAGTCTTCAGAACAGTACAGGTCAAGGACTACACCATAACAGTCGATGCTTCCTTGCTTAAGCCTTTCGGCTTTGTTGACAACGGTGTAGAGGTGGCCCTGCGTGCGTTTCGCGGCCTTTGCTTTGCCAAGTCGGGGTGCTTTCCCTTTCGTCCTGGATGTTCTTGGCTGTTCAGTGCGGCAGGTCAGCACGGCCGGCCTTGAATGGCGACTGATCTACCCAAAAGCTCTATTGTAAACGTTCAGGCCCCTAGAGGCCCTAGATTACTGCAGTGCATGGGCTGGTACTAATTATGTTGGTTGCAGCAACTCACTTGCTGAATCTGTTTAGAGATTGTGGGGACACGACGGACCGGCTTTTCACGATCTTTAAGCGAAATCCAGCTGGAAGCTTGTATTCGGATTCAGTTCTGGGACAGCTGGGTCTGCACCTCAGGGTAAAACACCCGTTAATTCGCAGATGTTAGCACGCCATTTCCGGAATCTCTCGCGACTCGGCCTTCTGCAGCTTGGGACCAGCCCTGTGGAGGTGCTCTACGCGCTTCGGCTGCTTACGTGGCAGGGGAACAGAGAGCGGTGGTGGCTAGGAGCGCGAGCAAACTGCGATGTTTTCTATGTTGGGGTTCGAAGCACGGCATTTATGATCAACGGAGATATGAACGTCTTCTTCGTCAAGGAAAGCTTGCTCGCCAGATGCAAATGTGCAAAACCACATACCCTTTGCGTGCTGTTTCAGGAGAATTGCTGCGGCTTCCCTTGCAGCACAACGGGGTATGTGATAGGTTTGATATGGTTTGCTAAAGATACGAAAGATGCTGATTGACAGAAGCTGGCGCTGCCCACAGCGCTTAAGACATGGAGATCACTGTTGGCGAACCCAACTGGCATTCGGGGTAGATGTGCAGGAGCTTGGCTTACCATTCAAAGGGCATATAACGGACATCAGCGGTGTTTATGGCAATCAGCATACCAGCAGCGGAAGAATATGCAGCCACATCACGGCGAAAATAGGCCCAAGTCCATTGCCCACATCTCATGTGATGGAGGCTGTGTTGCATGATGTTGCGTGGTTCTCTTTGTAGCCATGGGGGCTTAGAAGTGTTTGCTGTTAGCATTCCACAGTACTGGCTTCAACAGTAGACCAAAAGAGCAAGCAGGAAAGCGCATGCATGTGTCAATTCTTTTCAAGACTCACTTAATGGGTGGCCACCATTGATGAATTTCTGCTGGGCTGTAATTCGAAAGTTGGAATTGGGTTATGGGTGCTAGAGGGCTTGTACAGGGCTTACGGAAAGGAAACCCAAAAGACAGGAAATCTGCTGAAGTCTCAGTGCATACTTAGACCGTAACATACCCCAAAAACCTCATTACCAATGCCCCTAAGCTCAGAGACCGCCATATAACCTTAAAGAACCCTTTGATACAGAGGCCTGAATAATTAGAATAGGGTCTGGGGTAGATTATTCTATAATTATAGTACGGACCCCCCAAAACCCTATTCTAATTATTAAGGCCCCGACATTACGGCCTTTCAAGAGCCATGGCGAGCAGCGCCTCCTCGCCGAGGGCGGAACAGCAAGGCGCAGGTTCACTTCGGATTTGTTCAGGGCTTCTGTTTAAGGTTTAGGATATAGGATTTAGCGGACTTCGTCTGCCTTCAGCTTCCTTTGGGTTGATCGGGTACATGGGGCACAATCATACAGTGGAGACGGTCAGTTGCTCTCTTCTTGCGAGACTTTTTGTGGAATCGTCAAGCTGCAACTGTCCGCGCCTTTCACACTTGTCCTACTGGCAGCATGCGATGATGTTGAAGAGTATTTACCTGGCATTCCTGCTTTTATTACTGATGAGATTGCGCGTAGTGGTTTCATAGTTCAGTTTGAGGTTGTCCCTGACGACAGAATTAGGAGAGCTCAAGCGGTCTTGCAGGCTTGAAATCTAGGTCATGCGACGTGCGACACTCTCTTGTGCATTCCCTTCGTTCAGCTTCCTTCCGCCTCCTGCGTCAATATGATGCTTGCTTCGGACGTCCGGCCCCAGCCCGTGACTCAAAAAGGGTCTAGGATTAAGGGTTTTGGGTTTAGGGGTTAGGGCCTAGGACTAAGGGTTTTGGGTTTAGGGTTTATAGGATGTGAGGGTAGGGTACATAAGATAAAGTCCCTGTGCACCCCATCACACAAATTGTATCCCCGCCACGTGCCCAGCTGTGGCCCTTAAGCCCTAAACCTTAAACTTAAACGACGGAGGTGGCCTACCCCAGCAAGAGGGCGGCGGCAGTGAGGGCGCGCTGGTGAAAGATTACACCGTCCGCAGCTGCGTTATCGAAGCTTTGAGCTTCCCGGCTAAGGGGTTCAGGGTTTCTGACGGATTAACAAAAAGGTCTAGGGTATGTAAAGGCTTAGGTATCAAACACAAAGGTGCAGAGTTTAGGGTTTAGGATAAAATGTAGGGTTAAGGTTTTGTGGTTTTTGTTTGTGGTGGCGGCGGCGGCGGTGGCAGGGGTTTCCGGGGTTGTCAGACTTTGAGGGTTTGAAGTCTTGGATTTGGGGTTTAAAGTTTAGGGCTTAGGGTAGGTTTGGGGCTCAGGGCTGGTCGAATTCTAACATCAGTTTGCAGACAGAACTCATCAAGCGCAGTCCAGAGTGTGGGTCATGGGAAATTGGCTTCCGTGGTTGTAACTCTCCTGCGAGGTTACACGAGAAACCCTAAACCCTATCTACAAAATCATGGAAAGCTGCCTTTACGCCACCCCACAACTCCAAGCTCCAAACGTCAACTCCTTAGCCCCGACCTTCTTTCCAGGTTTGGGGCCTTTAGGCTTAAGGTTCAGAGGTCGAGGCTTTCGGAGTCACCCCAAACCCTAAACCCTAACCGAATTTCGGAGTCTTGTTTCAGGGTGTGGGGGCAAGTTTGCAAGGCTTCAGGATTTCTAGGCCTTCTAGGCTTCAGAGCTCAGGACTTCGGAGCTCGAGGCTTGGGGCTGAGGCTTTAGGCTTTAGGGCTTATAGGGTTTCGGCTCTAGGGTTTTGGATTTAAGGGTTTCGGCTTAAGGGTTTAGGGTTCAGGGGTTAAGGGTCTAGGGTTTGGGAGCCTGGTCAGCGTTGTACGGGTTCAAAAACAGGGTTTGGGGCATACAGCTGTCGTCTCCCGTTTGGCATTTTGCTCCCGGACTATGCACAAGCTCTACATAGGAAGCGCCAGCCCGCTTTTGTGGATTATATCGGTTATCTAGAACCCTTGTAAGAGAGGAGATTGGGTTCATGTCTTGGAGTTTGAAAGTGTCAGTGTTAGCAGGAGAAGGTGTCCCGAAGTGCACGGTGAAGAAGTGGGTGCAAGATCTCAGCAAAGACTTCTTCGTTCAGGAGCAGCAGTCCACACTTTCAGTCACTTTCGGGATATGTATTTCATATTTACATACTATAGCATATAATTTCATATCATGTATAATATGTAGTACTTAATTTCGAGAACAAGACTTCGTGTCGGCTTTTTGGGGGCTCGGCTGGTGAGCACCAGCACTGTGGGGCTGAAGAGCGTAGGGTGCTCCTGTGTGGCCCACACTTGGGACGGTTTGGGGTTTAGGACTTGGGGTTTGGGATTCAGGGTTTTGGGTTTTCTAGGCTGCGATGATACTTACAAGAGGCCGCTTTGTGTCAGAAGCAGGCTGTAGTGAGCATGTTCGGACGGTACTACCCGCCAGGACGACATGAGCTTCATCAACTCTTGGAGTCTTGGACACTCCAGACATCTCTGAGGTAACCCTGCCTAAACCCGAAGGCTCCAAGTATACGAACAGTACCTACTTTGCAGGTCCTGAAATCTAGACATAGTGCGTATGTTGGTCGGTTGGAAGCCCCAGGCAAATTCTGATCAAGCCCGACTTCTTGCAGCAACCAAGCACAAACATTGAACTTTTGGTCTTTGACGCTAGTTCTTATAAGCTACACCCACAAACCCCACATTCCAGACCATGGTGGGACTGCTTTACTGGTCCCTATCCTAGACCCATAGTGTACCAGAAACTCTCGAGTTAGGCTTCCGAGGCTTTGTTGCAGGATGCTTGATATGTTTATGCATCTTTCCATGCATGTATACACACATAAGCAAGCATATACATGCATACATACATAGTCCTGCACACATACATGTGCATGATGAGGCGTGTAAAAGAAGTAGGTTCTGGCATGTTGATGTGACGTATGATCACCAAATCACGCTAAACACCGTAAACCCCTCAACACCGCCGGTAACAAGACTAGAAACCGTAAGGAAGACCCTACATCAACCCTAAAGACGAACTAAACCCCTGCAGCATTCCTACAAAATAGACATCACAATGAAGCCCATGGTCCTTTAACGAGAGCTGAACCCCAAGAAATCTTGGAACCCCTTGTGCTCCATGAACACATCTTTAGCACAAGCAACATAGAAGCACACGACCGGAAAATGAAGGCTAGCAGATTGTTAGGGTCTTGTTGTTGCTGCAATCCTCGAATCCTGGTGCCCGGAGCATTTCTGATCTAAGGCGCGAGCTTCGACAACGTTGGGAGCGCTTGAGCTCGAAGCGCCAGCGGCGCCAGAAGCGCCAGCGAGATGAGCCCGAGGAGCGATCTGCAGCGCTAGTAGCTTAGTTCCCCAATACCCAACCTTTCAAATTTTTCAGGTTCTTATAGCTTAGGCGAAGTAAGGTAGTATTCGTACCGTATTCTGATTGCTTGGGTTGGAAGTTTGTGTTAGGCTTGTTTGTATGGTTATCGTGATCTGTCTCAGTCAGGTTTTGTGGCTGTGACTGTTAGTTATAGTATCTCGGCCAGTATAGTCGTCTCTATCTCTACTTCCTGCTAGTCTTGGCAGTGTCGTTCCGACTTTGCCTTGCTTACTTTCTTTATGCCATGGCTCTCTGAGTCCTGGAAGGTCCCGCTTTGGCGACTTGTGGTTGACGCCCCCGAAATCTGTACAGTTCATGGCTGGAGGGCATCGGGCGGGATGGAGGCCATGGAGGCAGGTCGGCCCCCCAAGCAACAATCGCATGGGGCGGGTATTGTACAATATGATATCAAATGATGCTATATGCCCTCAGATAACCCTTGATTATAGTTTTTGTTTACACCAACTAATGTTGCATGACTCTCACAGGGTATCACATGATGTTACTTGATACCACATTATATGATGTGATGTGGTTGAATGCACCATGCTATACTATAGTAAGTGGTAAGTCATTATATCCCTTGTTTATATTACCTTATGTTGTATGTGTTTTGATTCTTTACATCGTATTATGTCATAAGACGTTGTACAAGGTTATGCAAGGCTAAGACATGGGGTGTTGGCGAGAAGCGGCATCATTGAAGTTGCGCTTCCGACTATCGTGCAGTATGCGAGTGACCAGTTTCAGTCCACTGGCTAGGTGAGGCTGATGCATGTGCGACGCGTGCTGTTCAAGTCATCCATCAGTGATACCAAGTCCCGTGCGATCGTCATGTGTGCTGGCATTCACTGCTGCAAAAAATGCTATAAGATAGTATGTTTCATCAGATTAGGCTGTAGTTTATACTACGTTTTTTGCACTTCATTCCCGGATGTTACTTTATAGTTGTCAAAGGCGTCTTAGTTTACATCTTATCTTACGCTTATACGCCTATCTTATCTTATCCTATGCATACCATCTTGCCTTATATCCTGTCACTCCGTTACATCGTGTTGTAATGCTTTTTTGCATTCGATTGGATTAAATGATGTTTTAATATAGTGATATACATTCAAATTTACTACGTTCTCTTATATTATACTCGGGTGAATTTATGTTCCTTTATTGCTTTACAACGCATGAGAATATATCATTTTGTTTGTGTTATTCAATACTATATTACATTAGTTCTTGCCATGAAGCCTTCTATTGGGTTACAACCCATTAAGTTATATGATATTTTATTGTACTGTGCTGTACTACATTGTCTTATTTACAGTATGGTACAACATAATAGGTCAATTCGTATTTTGCTGTATTATATCTTACTGTATTACCTCCTATGACATCATTTGATATTATATCTCTTTTGTAAAAAACCGAAAGATGCGCAGCCACTCATGCAGGCTGAACTTGTGCTGAGGTTTCAGCTGCATGGTGGGGGTTGCCCGAAGGTAACATTGGCGTCTATGGCGTTCTATTCTCATGGCAACCATTTGGGGGCTCCCGAAAATAGGGGACCCTAATATAGTACCCTAAATAGTAGGATCCTTATTATAAGGACCCCAAAATAAGGTACCCCTTATTACGGATACTCCCATTTTAGTTTCTTGTGCAGCAGGAGGTGACCAAGCCTGCACCACCGCCGGGCATCCGCCTGTCACAGCCACAGCTGGAGGCGGTAGCCTGGCTTAGAACGGTTAGCGGTATAACATAATCTATTCTGATATATTATAATGGAAAAGACACCACGTAGTACAGTACAGTATAGGAGAATAATAATGTATCATATATATATATATAACACCATGTAATCGAACGCTGAGACGGAATCCTTCGAGTTTCGGGTTTTGCCTAAATAGGCAGTTCATCCAAATCCGCGGTCGCCCTGCTGCCTTATCTGTCTTGAGCGAGCGCGACAGTCGAAATCTGCAGTCCTAATCGCGGGATGTCGAATTCGTGCCCAAGAAGCATTGACAGGTTAGTTGCCGCCAATTTCTATAGAGGTTCGGTCTCTGCTTCATTTCTCACGATATTAAGCCCCTAGTGAAGCGACTCAATACAGAGTCCGCAGTCGGACGAGGGGCGTGGATGCCTTCAATGGCCCGAGGCCAGAACACTCGGGAAATAGCTGACACGGGTCTCTGTAAGTTTATGGTTGAGGGACATCAGACCTCTGCATCCTTTTTGCATTCACCGAGGCCCTGGAAGCTGCGAAAACAGCGCAAGAAGACCTTGCACAAGGCAGAGTTTGGCTACGACACCTCGCATGTCTGGAGTCTTCTGGAACAAACCACATCATGTCATGCTCTACGGCGTGGCCGAAAGGAATGCTGTACCTGCAATATCTGCATTGAGACATTCCTGCCATGCACAAAGTTTGGGATGTAGGAACGCCTGATCTCCATGTGGGTAGTTCTCAAAACTAGGGTCCCTCTTTAGGTCCCCAATACCCTTATACAAAGGACCCTAAAAGGGACCCTAATTTAGAGAACTACCCATGTGTCCTGGCCGGGCTTGCCTTGCAGGAGTTTGCGGCTCAATCGAGAAGGCTCTGGGTTTCACTTCCAGCTCAGCTTACTCTGTAGAAGCTGACATGCTTCATGATGCTTCTCACTGAAATGACAGGGGGTTTGGAAGAGAAGGGCCTGAAGCTCCTGGATTGCAAATTGCAAAGTTAAGTTTATTGTGGGATTCGGGTGGATGGTGCAACACGGCTGGTTGACCACCGAATGCGGATATACTTGGCTGCTTGACGGCCTCTCGTCCGTCTGGAGTTCCTCTCGCTATGCGCATACGTATATACATATATATACATATCCACATGTGTGTGTATATATATATATATATACAGATACATATATATATATATATACATATGTATATACATACATACATACATACATACATACAGACAGACATACATACATACATACATACATACATACATACATACATACATATATACATATATAT